AAACTCGTCCAAATGGCTCCATTTTAAGACCTCTGCTAAAGTGACCGTCTACTTCAAAAAATATCCCATAATCCAAGCTCTCCTGAGGACTCCGACATCAGCCTCAGACTCTGTAGGTGTGTAATTTGTTCCAAGCCGATAAGATCAGTTCGACCTGTTTGGTTTAATGAGTGCCGATCAGAAGCAACCTTCATTTGGCCTAACCTGTCAAGATGAGCAAACTCAGAGATTCCATAAGCTGGTAGTTCACCTTCTCAATATGTGCACTACAATCTCAGTACAATGAAGAGAAGTCTGCGCAGGGTTGAATATCATTACAAGGTCAGACAAAGTTCTGGTAAGAACTGCTGGTTTCGGTAGACGAAGTTCACAAAAATTAGCGTTTGGAGGTTCATATGGCCTGTCTACCCAGGAGAATGAGAACAGCAATCTACCGACTATTTTCATGGTCTCATCATCAGAGTATGTGAACAACATCTGAATGCATTCCATTCCATGGCGTCAGTTAATCGAATCGGTGACAGCTATTTATGGTGCAGATCCAAGTATGATTGTCAATCCTACTGGCGCATCGTATAGTGGATTCATAACACACACACACACACACATGTCTACGCCGAGTTTATAACACGTTTTTGGAGTGCGCAATGAAAACTTATGTGATTAAAATTAACCATAACCCTTAGGGGATGTTTCGGCGTGAAAACGCTAACAAATTCAAAGCATCTGCTTACTTCTTCCATCAGTGAAACTCATCGGTGAGACGTCATTGCGCTACGTGACATGTCGAAGCTAGGATCTATGCAATAAACCAAACAGCGGACCGCCATCAAATTCCTACATCTGCTACGCACAAAGTCGCCAGTCAGGAAAACGAGGTTGTTAGGAAATGAGCCGGCATTTGTTCAAACATTTTGCCCGCCTAAACCAGGCAACTTTGCAGTTTTCCAGTTTTATTCCTTTCGCTTCTAAAGTTAGTCTGATGCGCCCCCCCCTTTTTTCGCACACTCATGGGTGTTCCGAAAACGGAAGTTCTCATACTTGAGACTCTCCTCACTCGGAAGAATTTATCAATTTCCACAGTATCCAACAAGGGAGTCTAGGTATTCGCAGCTGAAGCCGGAGATGTCCTGTGTGCGGTACAGATTACTGATTCAGATAGAAATCAGCTGAGCCTCTCCGAATTCGTATGCGAATGAGAGTAGTTGTTGAAGGTCACATGAAGCCGCGCCTTTATGGCTAAACCCCTTCTATGAAAGTACAATTATCGAAGTCCTGAAAGCAGATTTTATGGTTGGAGGAACTTTGCTTCACTGTCTTGCAATAAAAAAAACAGCGGAGATGATCAGCCGGAAGCTACGTCTGCTAGATGGTTATCTTCGGAAAAAGACATGGCTGCACGCTTATTATCACTCGAGAAACCACCTCAAGGGACAGATTAAAAAGGTTTCTACTGAGAGTTGGTCTCTCCTGGAAAAGGCCTTGCCACCGAACTGCGCTCCATGGGCCAAACGAAGTGTTCTGGACGGTTAGTCTCTCCTGAGATCGGTCTCTTCAGAAATGGACAGATAAGGTCTTACAACAATCACTTCAGCCTCCGGAGATCACCGTAACACAGAATACCGAACTACATTAGAGCCTGATGATGCCATCGGTGTCATCAACTGTCAAACACTGATTGGAGTTGTGCGGAATCAACACAACTTAAGGTAGTCTCAGTACTGAGGTTGTGCCTCACCGGACAGAATACCAACGGCAGAAGGAGGTCCCGCACAACAACACTGCACAAGCTAGGACCCTCCTATTGAATATTATAGCGATGAGGTGTAGAATCCATTTTATCGTGACAGTTGTTGTTTTTGTACACTGTCATTTGGTGTGTTGTACTCGGCTCATTTTTTCGGTTCTCACATCGTAAGTTTGTTCATCCAGGTTTGCTAGTTTGACTGTTCACTACGGATTTCGAGTTGATATTCTGCAACATCATGGGACATCTTTGACAGATATTCTCAAAGTTTGAGGCTTGTACAACCAAAATTTCGGCACTGTATCTACAGTGTCGCGTTTCTAGGTAAAACTCTTTTTCGACAGCACTCACCTTGAAGGTTTGGGTGTCACTAAAAGGAACTCTTCAAGTACTTGTATTATTCAGCAGTAATGCTTGATAAACTACAGGTGTTATAAGGACAGCCATAGTATTATTGCAATAGGTTTACTGTATTTTATTTTATTGTATTGTATTGTATTGTTTGTATTGTATTGTATTGTATTATTACCAAAATTTCCGGTACACGAATTGCTGCTCACTCTTAGAGAAGAATCCCCCCCCCCAAGTAAGACCACTTCCAACTGTGGCCAGTTACACTGGCCACTTCGTATGGTCTTTGTTCCGGGGACTAGCATATATACATTTGTATATGTGTATAAAGTACAGTACAATACAGTACTGTATGGGATATACATAAACATATGTACACGTTTCTCTGTTTCTTGAGTTGAGCAGTGAGTATCCTTTCAGCGAGTGAAATTTGTGTGAACCGATATGAAAAGCTATTCAGTAGTGAGTGTCTTTCTATGCTACATTTTGCCTTCAATTCCATACTTACCAGATCACTTTTCCACAGAATTGGAGCATGTTAACCAACTGCTCCAAGCGGCCCCACGGTAAACCGTACATTCTGATACAGACGTGCGCCCAAAACTTGCTGCCATAGGGTATAAACTCATCTGAGTAGTCGCAATTGGATTAGAAGTGAAGGGAACCTACAATAAGCCGCCACTGGTAATCCGCACATC